AAACCGGCTCCGCCCCTCCGCGGTGACGGACAGGGTCCCGCCCCCACCCAGCCCCGCCCCCTCGAGCCACACCCCTCTGGCACCTTCCTCCACCAGAGCGAGGTCCCCAGCCTGGCACTGAAGGCCGGCTGGGGCAACCTCAGCCTCGTGTCCCCGCAGGGCCCAGCTCCGCTCTACAGCGCGCTCGTGGGAGTCTGGGGCACCGCCTCTGAGGCTTGGAACCAGACTTCGTCCCTTCTGCCAACCTGTGACCCAGGACACTTACGCCTCGGAGGCGGAAGGCACAATGGTGTCTTGCGGGCCTTAAATTAATGAGACCTTATATTCTAAACAGTGTAACTCACCTGCTTATCTCACATTCCAGTGTCGACATGACCTTGACGAGCTCATTAACCTTGGACGAGTTTCTTGGCCTCTTCCTGCCTCAGCGTTCTCCTCTGTATAATGTGGACAAGTTTCTATCTCACGGTGGATGTGAGAATTAATCGTAGAGCATACAGAGACTACATACACCTTTGTGTAAAGATAAGCAGACCCGAAACTGGAAGGCCCCAGAGGGTACTTGCCTGTTGCAAGGAGGGCTGACCACTGGGCCCTCCTTCCTAGGCCCTGAGATGACTGTGACGGAGGCTGACCAGTGACCACACCACAGGGACTCTGCAATCTCGAGTGGTAGGCGGTCTGGTTCAGGCGGGTTCCAGAAACGGGAAAAGGAGGAGTGTCACAGCCTGTGAGATGCCTTCCAGGCGGCACCTGATACCTATTTCCAGTGATTCTTCAGCTGCAAGACAATGAACTACTGACCTGGTCCGTACTGGCCCTGGCGTTGACCCTCCCTTAAAGGCAGGAACTGTCTCATTCTGTGTATGGCTCTGTCAACCCCTAGTCAACGAACGCCCAGCAAAACACCGGGTACAGACTTGAGTGATTAACAGGAAACGGTTGACGAAAAGCAACTCATCACTAAGCCAGTGAGCCCAGCTCGGCCAGGCACTGGGATTCCAGCAGCTTCAGCCCTTCTCTCTGTGTGGGCGACGCCGGCCCAGGACCTCCCTCTGAATACACAGGCTAATGACAGCCTGGATGTTCAGAGTCCCGACAGGAGAAACCCAAAACCTTTTCGGGGAGAGGGGGTGGGCAGATGTGTGTGTGTGTGGGAAGGGGTGTGGGCACGAGATGGTTGAAGGGGGAGTAAGATTTCATAGTTTTAAAATAGACGTGCCAACCCACTAATTATATATAGTGTCTGAAAACGCCAAGCTGTTCTGTTTGGAGAAAAGGCATTTGAAGTAACTTGCAAATACACTATATTTTCTTTTCTTTCTCCTTTTTGGGCGGGGGTGCGTTGAGCATGTACACTACCTACAACAATGACAGTCTTCCATCTTTGTGAACTTAACACAGAGGTAATTTTTCAGTCTTTCGCTACATTTTTCTCCCGAACACTTTTCCTCGTGGCTCAACAGCTTCGTTATGATCATTTTCATCGGCCACAGCAGCTGCCGATGTTCTGGACTGTAATAACAGCGGAACAGTGAAGATCTTTCTGCCTCGACCTCCTCCTGTGGCCAGGATCTACAACACAGTTTTGAATATAAGCACTGGTAATGGGCAGGCCTTTGATTCTGACTTTAAAAGGCAGCGACGTTCCTCTTTTCAGAAGGTGCTTGCTTTTTTGTTTGGTTGGTTTTACACAGAATCTATCGGCTTAAGACAAATTACTTTCTAGTCCTCATTTATCTTTTTTGTTTGGTGATGAACGGGTGCTAAATTCTATTATTAAATACTTTATCTGAATATGTTGAGATAGTCAAAATAATTTTCCCTTATTTTAACCTGTTGATGTGATAAATTGCATTTACAGATTTTAATGCTAAAAGCCATCGTGGCATACTAAGATAGAACATACGAGTAGCAAGTAAAGAAATTTAAACCTAGAACTTTGTCTTGTAAAATACTGCTTTCATCTATTTTACATAGTATTTCACGTTTAGAAAGGCTGGCTGCCAGATAAAAGTTTGAAAATGACGGCACAAGTGGCCTTTTGAGGGTCTTTCTACTCCGCAGTTCTGCAGCTGCCGTGTTTGAATTACGTTTTCGGTTTCTCTGATCCTACCCGAAAAAACAGGCTTCCCTTAGATGCTAATTCAGTGTGACAGAGGGCAAGACAGAGAATCGGACAAGAGCTACAAAGTATGACATCTAAGTGACAGAAGAGTTCTTGGCTTTAAAGAAATGCCGACATCTTCAACTCACAGGAACGTTAAGATCACGATCTATCGTCAAAAGAGTAGTCACAAACAGATACGAGGTGAACAGTAGTGGCAGTAGTGGCGCTGTCACGAAATCAGGAAAGTGAAAAGCTACAGGATGGGGAGCCAAAATGAAATCCTGGGAGAGTAACAGAGAAAAAGCGACACACAAGAATGTCACGTTTTCCTTTTTATTTAATCAAAGACTGGTGGATAAACATAAATACAGCACAATTACTTCAGATCATTCTTCATATTGTATACACACAGACGGATGAACGTAATCTGAAAGAAACCTGCAGTCAGCAATGAAATGCATACAGCTTTTCCTTCCCTCGCTCAAAAAAAAAAAAAAAAAATTTAAAAACACGCAAACTTAGAATCTCATCAGCACACACTCTCCTTTGACGAATGATTCAGACATAAATAGTGGGTGCAAAGAAACTATATGCTAACATATGTATAACCTTTGTTAATGAAAAAACAGAAGCAGCCATAATGATTAAAATACATTCAGTTACTGATAACTAGTTGTGCCCCAGAGGGCATTTTCAAAAGAGAAATCGTGCTGCAGAGAAAAGCTATATATACATACACAATGAGAAAATAAACTGCAAGATTAACGCATGCATGTTTAATACTGGAAAAAATCACAGCCCTCCAAAATCTCTCCACGTTTGTCAAAAAAGCCCTCTGCACTCAACTAAAATTAAAATGATCTTAAAAGGATAATACTTGTAAAGTTTACGTAAGTCTTTTCAGCCACAGAAACTGCAATGGAAATAAAAGTTCAGAGTCATTTTCAAAACAAAAACAAAAATCTATTCTTCTGATGACATGCATGATTAAAAGGACTATGCAAGATACAATGCTCTACATTCCCAATGACTAGGAAAAAAACCTCAAGTCAATTTTTAGTTTGCAGATGGTCAAAGGATTTTGTATTCCAGCAGGAGTTCAAATCTTCTGGATCTTTTCTCCAACAACTACTGGATTTTCTTTTCTGATTTTCTCAGCAGCATCGGCTTTGTAATTGTAAGAGCAATTGTGTACATCTGAGTAACGGTGTACACCGCAGTAAACATTTCCACATCGGCATTCAAACCCTGCAAGCGGATTGATACACAGACCTGAGTTGGAGGCAAGGTCGAAATACTAAGTTCCTTAGCAAAATTAACGTTAAACAGATCCTGTATTTAGAGCAACAATCTAAACAAGCAGTTTCGCGAACTAAGAACATTCTCAAAACTCACTAGCTGATAGCTTCCTTTCTTGTACCAGGCCAGTACCAGAGCAAGTCATAACCACTTTTCTGAGCTCAAGTTTCCTCATCTGTGACACGACCAAAAGAATCCCTACCAAAAACAAATTGCTACATTGAAAATATGAAGCATTTCTCCAGTCCGAATACTATAAGGTGAAAACAGGCCTACCGTCAGAAGGCGACTTTAAGATGTAACTAAGAACACAACGAAATGGCCCCGCGGACAGAACTATATCCGCATGAGCTTTCTCTGGCTGCCCTCCAGTGCAGAGGCAAACTGTACGCTGTCTGGGTGACTACAGCTGGGATCCAGAGTCGGAGTCGGTGCCTAAGTATGAATCTGCTTACTAACGCAGGCCGATTACTCAGCCTCTCTGAGCCCCAGTGTCTGCATCTGTAATTTTGGAATAAGTTACTGGAAGGATTAAATTAACTTAACATATAGAAATCACGCAATAGATGCTTCTCATTCAGGAAAATGTCTAGAGTTGAAGCCTAAAGACAGACATGAAAAGGGTGAACAGTCCACGTAAAACTGGTCCTGCTCCCCAAATTTGCATTTTATGGTATGATGGAATTAATTAGAAATGGAGCATAGGAATCAATATTTCAAGCACTGACATATGATGTTAACCTCCTTTACACCACATTTTTTTTTAACTTCAAAAATATATTGTGACTTCATAATAATGAACGAAAAATGAAGCCAACAGTAACACTAGGCTGACAGATTGGACAGGATGAGGCTTACTAAGTCTCAGTCTCCCAGTCATGCAGTCTGGGAACTTCTGAGATTGGAAACTTCCTAGAACATAATTTTGCTCAAAATGTTATCTCCTCTTCTCCCAGCTCATAGTCCGATTTTTAAGCAGAGTATGCAGCACAATGTCTGGCACACAGCAGACAAAACATGGTCACTATTTATAGCTGCGACTGTCCCCCCAACCAATGAAGCAGTCCACACGACTGGGGCGGCCTGGCCTGGCCCGTTTCTGCGACCGCAG